GTAACGGCGGTACATGTATTCCGTTACTCCCCAACACTGGCTATGAAACAAATACATTCAACTACCTAAAACAATCCTTAAAAGTATTCAGCAGCATATGTTGATAGTCACTGTTAAATCCAGAATTTAATTTAAAGTCCTTCTTCTTGCATGCAAGGTTTTAAATAATCAGGCTCCATTCAATTCAATCCAATTCAGTTTTATTTATACAGCACCAAATCGCAACAACAGTTGCATCAAGGTGCTTTAGACCCTACAATAATACATACAGAGAAAAAATGAAGTGCTCTACTTTTATGATTAGGCTTAAAACGTTCCTTTTTCCTGAAGCATAAAAGTCTTTTTGCTGCCCCTCCCTTAGCCTGGTTCTGCTGGAGGTTTATTCCTGTAAAGAAGGAGTTTTTCCTTCCCACTGTCGCCAAGTGCTTGCTCGTATGATTGTTTGGGGTTTCTCTGTAATATTGAGTCTTTACCTTACAATATAAAGGGTCTTGAGGTGACAATTATTGTGATTTGTCGCTATTAACATAAATTTGAATTTAAATTGAACTGAATTGAAACAAAAAGTTTTAGTATAAGGTAAGGCCCCACCTTGGCTAGGGAAAATGCACATTCTCCAAGCAGTTGGCAAGTGATTGATCCTCCTTGCAACTAGTCACTTGAAGAATGCCACAGTTGCCCGAAGGCTGCAGGAAAGACAAAAACCCGTCTCCAAACACTTGCCCAGAACTCTCTGAGCAGCAGTGGAACTATGAAAAGTAAACACAAACCTAACATAGTGACTGTTTGCTTTTAAAGTAGATGTGGTGCCTTTTTAAAATGTTAGTTTCATCTTTTACTTGGAAGGGCAACATTATCATTCTTTCTCCAAGTTTCAGTTATGCTAAATAGACTGGTACTCGTATATTATTCTTCTACTCCAACTGAGCACTCAAAGTGCTTTTTATTACAATCCTCGTTTACTCACATATTCATGCAACAGGCTACTTCACCATGCAGACTGGAGTTGAGAATGATTGGACGACCCACTCTACCTCCCGAACTTGGTGGTTGGTAAGCGACTGTTTGCAGACGAGTCAGTACCTTCCAGGATTACCGGTTTTTTCCTTGTGGCTTTTCTGTGGTTTAGCAATTGATCTCACAGCAACTGCCAGCAACCTCTAGCAATCACTCACCAGCTGCTCCTCTAAATGGCGGTTGGCAGATGGTCACCAATCAGTCTCAAGCCCTGTGTGACTGGGATCAAAATCCTATTTTAGGATTTCACAGTGCGAGATAAATAAAGACGAATGCTGCCCATGTTATTAAATATGAAATCAGGACTTACAATGAAGCATCCTCAAAATGATGTCAAATAAACAAGTTATTCCCAGAAGATCTTTAACTTTTTTTCAGCAGTGTTACTACCACCGTTTCTGTTTAAACCACAAATAACTTCAATCAAAACAGTTCTAATAACCAAACTATTCGATCAGGGAGAGTCACTTCATATGTTTTCACCTTCGACGCTTTCTGTGTGTTCAATAAATAATCAGTAATTTTAAAACTATAAAAACATTAATGAAAACATGACTCAAATAAAGTAACACATAAAACACAGCAGTTTAGCTACAAGGCAAAGAATGAAGAAAATAAAGAAATGGCCTGCCAGAAAAAGAAAAAATCACTTCTGTCGTAGGTTTTACGTCAATCTTTATTTTACCATGTGTCTCAAATTATAATAATAACCAAATTAATTGAATTAATTAACATTAATATGTGTGTTCAAGACCCAGTGAACCTTTACATTCCTTCGGTAGAATCCACATCCCGACCTCCTTTTACTCCCCTCCTGCTGAGCTCTGTGTGTGGCTGCTCTTACTAATGCTGAGTCAATTACTACTGCAGGTGACGAGCCTAAAAATGGGCCAAGGGTTGTGTGTGCCTGTGGGGGGTTCAGTTAAGGTGTTTACTCTGTATGTGTTCATTTTCCTTGGCTTTGTATCTGTCAAGCTTCTAAGAAGAAGAAAAAACAATTAGTTCTACAAGAAAGAGAAGGGAAAATGGAAAATAAGAGTTATTCAAAGAAAGCTCTAAAGCCCACATGCAATCTATACACACTCCATGTATTCTGAGTTAGGGGAAGAAACTGTTGTATAGGAAAGATGATGAAATGATTATGAACATTATGCAGTTGTTATAGGATATATAATGTAACATTTTAGGATGTATAATTATAAAATAGTTCATATTTGATGAGGAGAATGCACATCATCATGAAAGTCCATATAATTTGTGTTCTGGAGAACTTGACTGCATTGTGCAAATGTCTTTTGTCAACCCTCATTTCTTTATATTTTGCAAGGAAAATGGGAAACAGTCGAAGCGATTTAGTGAAATGTGCAAGCGTAAATGGAAATACAGCATTTTAAACGAAATAAAAAGAATCTCTAAAATGTTACTGCTCAAGACTTTTGCCCAGTACTGTGAAGAAAAGGTTTAAAGCAAACACACCATTAATTGTCTTACATGCAGTCTAACACAATCCAAAGTCGGTTGCTGATGAGGGGTCATGTTATACCCAAAATACACCAAGACCCAGTGGGCACACTGTGTGAGTCAACAGAGGGAAGGTCAAGCGAATTGTCCTTCGAGGTGCCTGAATGTCCATCTGTTACTCAGCATTCCAACCAGTAACTACAGTAGTTTAATATTTGACTTGAGACTGAATTATAATTAATTTCTACAGAAGAATTTTTTTTTTTTTGAAAAATCTCCAAATGCATGCAGATATTTCTTCTATAGGAATCGAAATATCAGTGCAATCTGTTCGGTGGCTGGTTTTGCACATCAAAGTGTTGGACTGATGGACAGCCAGATGGACGGATCAGTCAACAATTATCTTTACCCTTTGGCCTAACTCCTAGTGCTACAAAAAGAGAAATCTGAAAGAAAGATGAGAGAGATGGGAGAGAGACAGAGTGCTTTTCACAGAGATATTAATTGGACTGGGCTTTGCAGGACTGCTGCTTTGTCTTTTTCTCATCAACAGAGCAAATTAAGAACTTTTCAAATATTTGTTAGCCTGCTTAACATATTCACTGGGTCGTTCACTGCAACTTGCCTCATTTTTAAATGCTCTTTAAACAAAGTCATTGTTTTCTGCTTTAGTTTTCATTGCCATGCAGTGCGCACCCTTTGTTGCACCCTGGGCTGACTCTTTGTAATGGAAATAACTGCAACTTCCAACAACTGTTTGAAAAGCAAAAACACACACACACACCGAAGTTTACAGCTGAAAGACTGAACATGTATGTGCATTTGCTGCACATCACGCACACGTGAAAAACAAAGTCGAACGCATCTGAACACATGAGCAGATTCACTGTAATTACATATTGCGTATAAGCTGTCAAACTTGCACACAAACAGTCGCACTGCATAGTTGCACACAGTGCTCCTGACAAGGCTTATTGTTTGTCCTTGACATTTTCATGTATTTGATGAAAGGCTGGTATGAAAGGGCCATGTGTTGGCATCACAAATCTTCAAATGTGGAGCGATTTCTTTGTTCCCTCTCTCTTAGCTGACTCAAGGGACTTCTGTGCTCGGGGTTGACTTGTTAATTAACCACATGGCTGACTGATTCAAATGTGTGTACAGAAATTTGCACACAAAGTGGTAGTTACAGGAGATGTGAAGGGACTTTCCAAATGTACCCTTCATTAGTACTGCAGCAAACTGGAAGTGCAACCAAACAGTATATGGAGAAACACTCATTATTATTCCTTCCTAAGTTACTATTTTAATAGATAGATAGATGGATAGAGAGATGGTCATAAATCTAAGCATAAACTGCATATTTTATGGCTCATCTTTAAATATGTTTTGCTTAATTTTGCTTAATTGGATGGACAGATCAAATACTTAACTTGTCCTACAAGGTCAGAGATCCAAGAAGGTATTCTCAGTGCTGATATTTTTTTAATATCTTGTAATGGTCTGTGTTTGTCTGGGTCAGAGAATGATGTCCTTGTTCCCCAACATAGTTTACAAAGAGGTCATTAAGGGGAAGGGCAGACCAATTGTGATGGCCAGTTGTATTTCCTTGTCTTTTTCTATGGTTGCTTATGCGTTAAAGTTAGCAAACATAAAGCAAAATTTTTGTTTTTCATTCTCAGTGCATGTGAAGGCGGGGACGTGTGAGGTGATTGCTGCCCATCGCTGCTGCAACAAGAACAAGATCGAGGAGAGATCTCAGACTGTCAAATGTTCCTGCTTCCCTGGACAGGTCGCCGGCACTACTCGGGCCATGCCGTCCTGCGTCGACGGTAGGTGTCACTTTATTGGTGTTCGGGTATCTTTTGCGGGCGCTTGCGTAGTGCCGCTGCCTGATGTGCACCTGTTTTGAATGTTGGCTAAAATGCCTTAGTATGGATTTGAACTCATCATGTGTTTTCTTTGTCATGCATCTCAGGCAGAGCACTAAAGTTCAGATTGCTTTAATCGACTCTGAAAGAAAAAAGTGAACACTGCATTAGCAGATGAGCACATTTATGAAGATGAGTGCTGACAGTCAGGCCACACGGAGGAGCAGTCAGTATCAGGAGAAGAGATGCTAGAGTTAGCAAGAGGTTATTTGAAAGAGACTTTGTTCAATGCAGGTGCTACATATGACCAAGCCCCCGGTGTGCTGCAGTAAACTGAAAAATCTAAGAATTGATACACGACCAGGTAAACCCTGATTTACGGGCCAAGGCATAGAAGCCATCAGTAATCTCTTGGCAGCGTTTCTGTGTACTGGTAGCCAGAATACTGACTAGAAATGCATGGAAGCAAAGTGAAGCCTTTCTCCCACTGCCCGTTTTCTGTGCTGTTTCAGCAGACTAATTTATTACATACACTGCCTCTGTCTGTTATATTTTTGTGATGAATTCAGAAACATTCTGAATATGATGGATTGCGTGGGGTTATATTCTGAACACAATCAATTCAAAAGTAATTAAATGTTTGCTTCTCAGGTAAACCTTAAAGGTGCAAGAAACAAAAATCTGAACTATTCCAGACAGAAAAGGGAACGTCTTCCTCGCAGTAAATAAAAAATGGAATCTTGTGTTGTTCCACAACTATACTACAGCGCCATGGTCCTGAATTATTGTCTATTAATGTAATGTTGATACTGAATGTACCAGACATATGTTAAACTGCATTCATTCAACCTATTTATGCATGCATTATTTGCATTATTTATGTATGCACTCACACCAATCAACTAAAGTTTGGACAAATATTAGGGTTTTATCACAGAAAGAAGTCCACGCTGACTTCAAGCTCGAGCTTTCCCTAACTTTAGGTGCTCCTGCTGCACAAACCCCAGTCTTGGTGTCAGATATGAGCATACATATTCGGCACATCCACAATCAAACCCAACCACCTCCTGCTGACTCCGATATATTTCATAAATGTGCTGCTTAATTTCCAAAGGTAATCCAGCAAGTGATTATCTTGCAGCTAAATTTAACAATTTAACTGTGAAGAAACTTAATTTGTAGGAGATGGGGTTGGACAAATTCTAAAATGGATTATAATGAAGCAGCTCAGGAAAAATGCACCATGAAGAGGAAATCTTGTGTTTTTGTTATTACACCGAATTTATCAGTAGTCAGCGTTATGTAAACATCAGAGCACTCCCAACAAGAATCTTGGTAGCAAAAGATATTAATCTGCAGGAAGTATTATCTTTACGAAGCTCTTTTGTTCACTGCAAATGAGAAGTTGATTTTTTAGACCCAAATGTATTTGGGCATTTTACCCATAAATGAGATTAGTGTTTAGTGATGAACATTCGAAGCTATAAAATATTCCCGTATGCCTGGAAACCCATCATCCACTAATGCCTCTGTGTTTACAACATCAGTATCCAGCAGGCCCTCCAGCCTCGCAGAGTGGCACTTGATGAAATAACTGACCCAGTCTCCATTTCTCAGTTGTTTCTGGGTTTCGGGTGAGCGCTCAAACATGATGAAAGATTCACTTACAATACAACATGGCACAGTAAGATGAAGGGCTGGAATGGTGGAGTACATCTTACTTACTTATGGCACCACAGATATACAGTACCGTGAAAAAACTATCTACCCCTATCCTTTCTTATTTTATTTAATTTATTTTTTTGCATATTTATCACACTTAATTGTTTCAGATCATCAAACAAATTTGAATATTAAACCTGAACCTGAGTAAATACAAAGCACCGTTTTTAATCTTTGAGTTTAAGGGAAAAAGTCATTACACCCTAAACCTGACAACTAGTTGTGCCTCACTTGGCAGAAAGAACTGAAACCTGTTTGGGATAAACAGCAATAAGGAACTGTGGCCCACTCTTCTTAGCAGAATTTTTGCAGAAAAACCTTCATTTTGTTTTTATTACTGAATTGTTCAAAGGTAGACTTGCTGTGTGTTTCAGATTGTTGTCTTGCTCCATAAACCAAGTGAGTTTGAGCTTCAGGGCATGAAATGATGGATGGGCAGGATTTTTGGTAGAGAGCAGAACTCCGCTGTACGTACACCCAGGTCCTGAATCAGCCAAACGGCCTTAGACCATCACACTACCACCACCGTGTTTGACTGTTGGTATGATGTTCTTTTTATGAAATGCTGGGTTTCTTTTCATCTTTAATGGTCAGAATGTTTTGTAGCAAATGTGAGATAAGCTTTTGTGTTCTTCTGGATCAGCAGATTTTTGCTTCCATGGTTACCAGTTTCTCCCAGTCTCTTTCCTATTGTTGAGTCATGGACACTGACCTGAACTGCGGTAAATGAGCCCTGCAGTTCTTTAGATTCTGTTCTGATTTCTTTTGTGACCTCCTAGATCAGTTCCCAGCAGGCTCTTGGATTTTTTTTGGTAGGCTAGACCCTCCTGAGAAGATTCACTACTGTTTCAAGTTTTCTCCATTTGTGGATAATGAGTCTCGTTTGCTGGAGTCACAAAGCCTTAAAAATGGTTTTGTAACTCTTTGTAGACTGATACATGTGTGTCAGCTGTTTCATTAGTGTGTGGCACATTGTGTTTCTTTTTGAGCTCTTCTGTTTCACTGTGTCAAACTGGTTCTATTCTTTCAAAAGGCCCGGCATAGTCAACGGCAAAAAACAGTTAATTCATGATTTAACAACAGGTAGGTTTGGCCGATAAATTCAATCATGAAAAACTGGATTTTGTATTTAATTGAGTTATTTTTGTCCTGCTAAACAAAATACTCATATTAACTCTCAGAGTTCTTTAACAATGATGACAGTCTTTAGAGTCTTGAGAGTGACAGTTAAAGAAAAAGGATTCATGACAACAGCTTTTATGTATTCACACATCCAGTCAGTCAGCTGTTTTTTCCTTTGACATTTAATCATGTTTGGTTTCTGATATGTGTTATATTTTCTGATGGTGTTTCATTATTTGTTTTTAACCTGAAGAATCTCAACAATCTCAGCTGGTTGTGGCTAATTAAATTCACATGATTCCTTTGCCCATGAAACCCATGCCTCGGGTAACTATCAGCATTTGAAAAATCTTTTTTCTATTGCTAAAAGTTTTATTTCACATTAGCCTGAAGGTTCAGTTGTCGTTAACAGCATCTCACTAATTATCTCGTGAGTTTTTATTTGTTCAAAACTGTGTAAAATGTTGAAAAAAATGCTGCACTTGCAAAATCGGTTTTAAAGAACGATGGTGATGTTGTCTTGCATAACATCACCAAATCATTAGCCCCTCCAGGAAAATGAATTATTTCCTAATTACTGTTAAACAGAGGAAGACATTTTTAACACAGCTTTTCCAAACATCTTAGTTTGTATTTCGGATCCAGGCGTTATTTCACTTTGCACACAGAAACAAATTTATTTTCCAAAAGCCAAAAACTACCAGGGTCAGAATTATTAGCACATCATTTATGTATCCTTTTTTATAGAGAACAGCCTGCTGTCGCTTGCTGTTGCAGTTTTCAGAAAGTCTTACATACATCTCCTGAGCAATCCCAGCCAATTCTTCTCTGCAAATCTCTCAAGCTCCTCCAGATTTGATCTTTGGTGGTCTGGCATGGACCCTGATGTTCAGTTCACCGCACAGATTTTCAGTGGGATCAGTCAGAGCTTTGTGCAGGTAGTTTTTTACCAGAAGCGACTTGTGTTTTGGGTCAATGTCATATTGGAAGAAAGAGCGATTGTTTGAAGTTTTCTTTCAATATATTCACATCTCTTTTTTTCTTCCTGATTCCATCCACCTCTATGAGATTCCAAACACACTGAAACATTACCGCAGCATAATACTCCCACCACCGTGTTTCACTGTAGTCAGAGAGCTCTAGTTTCATGTCATCTAATCAAAGGACACTTGAGTATGCATAATCCTTCTCCAAGTTGTCCTTAGTATACTTCAGTGTGGCGTGAAGGTGTCTCTTCTACAGAAGTGATTTTTTGCAGCCTCACACTCCATTCCTGTGCAGAGTTCTAGTGATTCAATTCAATTCAATTTTATTTATATAGCGCCAAATCACAACAAAAGTGGAAAGGAAAAACTCAATGCATCATGGGAATCCCCCGGCAGCCTACGTCTATTGCAGCATAACTAAGGGAGGATTCAGGGTCACCTGGTCCAGCCCTAACTATATGCTTTAGCAAAAAGGAAAGTTTGAAGCCTAATCTTAAAAGTAGAGATAGTGTCTGTCTCCTGAATCCAAACTGGAAGCTGGTTCCACAGAAGAGGGGCCTGAAAACTGAAGGCTCTGCCTCCCATTCTACTTTTAAATACTCTAGGAACAACAAGTAGGCCTGCAGAGCGAGAGCGAAGTGCTCTAATAGGGTGATATGGTACTACAAGGTCATTAAGATAAGATGGGGCCTGATTATTTAAGACCTTGTATGAATTCTGGATTTAACAGGAAGCCAAAACAGGAGAAATCTGCTCTCTCTTTCTAGTCCCTGTCAGGACTCTTGCTGCAGCATTTTGGATCAGCTGAAGGCTTTTCAGGGAGTTTTTAGGACTTCCTGATAATAATGAATTACAGTCGTCCAGCCTGGAAGTAATAAATGCATGAACTAGTTTTTCAGCGTCACTCTGAGACAGGATATTTCTAACTTTAGAGATGTTGCGCAAATGAAAGAAAGCAGTCTTACATATTTGTTTAATATGTGCGTTGAAGGACATGTCCTGGTCAAAAATGACTCCAAGGTTCCTCACAGTGTTACTGGAGGCCAAGGTAATGCCATCCAGAGTAAGAATCTGCTTAGATACCATATTTCTTCTTTGAGACTCATATTCCTAATTAAGTCATTCACGAGTGTCTTAGCAGTTTTTCTGGTGCCTTCCGATGTCTCTCACTAGTTTTCTTTCCAGATTGTGTGAAATCTTTCACTTCTTACCTCTGCCAGGCTTGTTCTGTGCTGTGTGCCTCTCTTTGAATTTCTTGATGATACTTCCGAATCCAGTTTTTGACACTTGGAAACACTGTAATAGATTTATATATCCATGTCCTGCTTTGTGAACACCAACAATTATTTTTCTAAGTCTAAACTGATTTATTTAGTTATTGCCATGATGCCTTATCAAGTGACAGCTCTGGCTGAAGTTCTTAAATAGAACATAATCTTCAATTTTAACTTGATTTTACAAGCTTTGAGCATCACAAAGTTAAAGCACATCATTGTACAGCAGGGGTTTGTGCTGTGGTGGGTGGTAATAATATTGACCATGGTCTTTTTTGCTTTTTCTGCAATACTTCAGAGCAACCTTGCACACCTTTGCAAACCCTGTAAATTCTAAAGTTGCTATTTTTAGAGGTTTTTTTAATGGTTATTTATTCTAAATGCTATAATGTTTAGAAATTATATAGTGAAAATCCCTTGCTCTTGGAAAAAAAACAACTTTAATTTTCTAGGGTGGCTAATAAAACTGTCCTCATTTGTATATCTAGTAGATGTGAGGATCTGTGTGGTCAACCACATGACAGATTAACTTTAAAAAAACAGAAAACAGCCTTTGATGCCGCCTGATTCTGGTTGAGTGAACAAAGAATGTTCTACTACATAAGAGATGTTTTAACAGCGATGCTCTGAGGCTCACAATGGTCTGCAGCTTGCTTTGTTTTCAGAATCATGAATCATTTATTGTTGGTGTGTTGAGGCAAAATGCAGCAAAGTGCAATAGAGGCAGACTTTTCAAATTAATTAATAATGACCAGTGTTGGGCAATTTACTTTGAAAAAGAAGTTAATTATAGTTACTAGTTACTTCTTCAAAAAAGTAACTGAGTTAGTAACTGAGTTACAATATTCTAAAAGTAATTAATTACTTGAAAAGTAACTATTGCGTTACTTTAAAAAAAAAAGTTTAACCCTCTGGGGTCCAGGGTATAATTGTCCATTTTTAACTACTTTTGATGTTTCCTCCACATCTCACCTTTAAAAACTATTTACTTGTTTGGTCTCATCCTTTTCAGCACAACCTCACGTGTCTGAATCTACAGT